TATGTTGAATGTTTTACAAAGAATACATTTTTAAAAAGGAGAATCACACACAAATCACTTGGGTTGGACAAACAACTAAAGGATTAGAATAAACTACACATTTCTAGGATTCTGAACTACTTATTAAGTATACAAGTTCTCACTCCACTATGCAAACTCAAATGGCTTTTTAGAAAATTTTACCAAAGACATACTTAAGGGGTGGCTTAGCAAAGTATTTCCAAACTTTGTATCTATATATATTCAAAGAACAGGTCTTTAAAAATGGGCTTACGCCGGGACCGGTTTGGCTCAATGGATAGAGCGTCGGCTTGGGGACTGAAGGGTCCCGGGTTCGATTCCGGTCAAGGGCATGTACCTTGGTTGCAGGCATATCCCCAGTAGGGGGTGTGCAAGAGGCAGCTGATCGATGACTCTCATCGATGTTTCTAACTATCTCTCTCCCTTCCTCTCTGTACAAAATCAATAAAATATATTTAAAAAAAAAATAAAAAAATAAAAATGGGCTTACAATGTCTTTCTCTTTTTTAGGGTAGATTAAAAGTTGAATCATTATTTCAAAAGTGTCCTTGTTCTTTATATACTTGAGTCATTAGTCAAGTTTTTCACTCTAATTCCAATTTCTAATCCTTAAACTCTTCCTACTAGTTCACTTTTAACTATCTTCATAGCTCATCTAATATCACCAAACATCTCCAGGTCATCTGCACCTCTTACTAGAACTGACACCTGGGACCTATGCTTCCCTCGAAGCTGGAAGGTTGTCTGGTCTAATTAGCATATTATGCTTTTATTATTATAAATTGTTATACTGAAAAAAAAAAAGGATAACCAACTTGTTGGTTCTTTTTCCCCTTCCCACCAATAGCAAACATCTACTTTTTCATTCTCATTCCTTTATTTCCACTTCCTATTTGACTTCTCAACTGTACAAAACACACCAGTGGAATACTTAGTAATTACTGTGGAAAATGCTTTAGTCATAAAGATAAGTCTAACACTATAGCATTCTTTTGAGAAGCCCTTAATCTAACAAGTGAGCTGTCTAATGACCTTTGGTTTACAACTCCATATAGTAGTTTTTAAAGTCCATAATACATTTTTTAAAAAAGATAATTCCTTTTTTTATTTTTTTAAAATATATTTTATTGATTTTATACAGAGAGTAAGGGAGAGAGATAGAGAGTTAGAAACATCGATGAGAGAGAGTCATCAATCAGCTGCCTCTTGCACACCCCCCACCGGGGATATGCCCGCAACCAAGGTACATGCCCTTGACTGGAATCGAATCAGGGATCCTTCAGTCCCCAAGCCGACGCTCTATCCATTGAGCCAAACTGGTCCCGGCCCAAGATACATTTTAATATACACAGACTAGGAAGGACCCAAAAGCTGCCTGGTTCCCTAGCATGCTCCTGTATAATGGTCGTTCTGTGGGCGGGAGGTAAAAACAAGTGTCCAGCATCATCTTAAAACGGCCTTGGGCAAATAAAAACGCAGAGAAGCAAGATAAAATGAGAGTCACCATTACTATTACTCATCTATTGTTGCTGAATATTAAAATATTAGACTATTTTACTGCTTCACCTCTTAGAAATGAGATCTCCGGAATCCATTCTTTGCCTTATACTGGTTTTTATTTTTAAATGAAAATTTGAAAACCTGTTGGCCAGTAATGAACCCTGCCCCAGAAAGTTTTTAAGGCTTCTTCAATCTTTTATACCGCATGCTTGGATTTGAGTTAAGAGACCCCTATACTATTATAGGCAGGCTCATATTGCTGTAACTACTTTTAAACAAAATCCCCAACCTGAGATAAACAGGGCCAAGAAGGTAGTCAAGGGCTTTCTTTAGCTGATTATTATTCTCCACAACAATCCTTTTGGGGTTGGGGATGGATATTAGTTGCATTTAATTGAGTTCAGTTTTCTCAGAGGACTGAGGGATTTACATGGTAAAAAGTTGGTCTGACTCAAAATATGGAACTCTTTTTACACCACTAAATTCTTCTTGGTGAATCAGGTTTCCTAATATGTCTTTCATAATTTTGTTTTTCATCTCATCGGTCAAGACAAAACTACCCAAACTTTGGCTTCTTTTTGTGGATTTATGCAGAAAAGCTATTAGGACTACTGGTGTTAAATTCCTCCCCTACTACCAAGACCTCCCCTAATTGGTCTATGATCTGGCAGGAAGGGCAGATTGCATTAGTTCACATAATGCAACTTCAAATTAACAATGCAAGAGAAGAGCCCCAAGTTCTTTTACATAAAGAGAAGTCCATGTTGGAAGAATATGCCAGTGACCATTTCTCCCAGTAATGTTCTTCAACTCTTGTCAAAGTAACATAGTTCCTACTTTGTCTACTTAGTATATTAAACACTTGATAAATGCACATGAACAGAATGGTAGTAACCATTAATAACGGACTAAAGAGCTTTTCATTTCAGAAAAACTTTTTTATAGGAAGATTTTTATGGGAAGAAAAAGGGTATTTTCTTAGCTAGGTGCTCAACAGTACAATGAACTGGTTCATCACTGACACCATCAGCCAATAACATTAATTCTGAAAGAGGATTTACCTGCTTATTTTTCTCACATATAAATAAGTTCAGAAAACTTAATACAATAATAATTGATTATATTTAAGATTTTAAAATATAATTAAAGCAGCCCTGGCTGGTGTTGGTTGAGCATTGTTCTGTGCATTCCTGGTTAGGGCACATGCTGGGGTTTTGGGCTCCATCCCCAGGAAGGGGGCATGCAGTGTATAATTAAAGCACATTTTTACCAAACATCAAGTTCATCAGCTCAAAGATGTTTTTTTTCCTGGGAGAAATATCGGTTCTGCTATGTTTTATAATTCTATTTTACTAGAAAGGGGCAAGAATTTTATGTAAGATGTTTCCAGAGTCAACATTAACTGTCAAGAAATCTGCTTGTAAAAACCCACATTATCTGTAAATATAAAATTTTCCCAAGTTGAAAATATTAGCTCTTTTCCAAAAGAAACCCTTTTGCTCATTTACTTAAAAGTCTGAGTGTCTCTACTATAGGTGAGGAGGCATGAGCTATTCAAAGATCTCTTAAAGAGTTTTTCTCATGAAAAGACCAGGGCTGGAAGCAAAAGCTTGTTTATCATTTTCAGAGCCTTTTGTATGGTAAAGGCATTAAACTTTCCTTTATCTAAACTTTCAAAGCGCAAATTTCAGTTAAACTTGGGGAGAAGTCTGCTATTCTGAAGAATAAGGGTAGTGACCAGTACCAAACCCTCTTAATAATCTTATCAACAAAGAGCTATTTAGAAATTGTCTTATTCTCACCCACTGATCCTATGCAATACTTTTCTCGATAAGGAAACTAAAGGAAAACATAATTAAAACTGCTACAGGCTTTTCCTAGGAAAATCCTCACCTCGACAAGAGCTATTATACTTTCAGTGTGGAAAATATGCAAATGCCTATGAACCTGGAATAGCAATAAGCTTGTTAGAAGGTAAATGTTACATCCCCCTTTAATCCTACTTGTAACAAACCCTTTGAAACCAAAAAAAAAATGACTTGATCTAGCAGATGTAATAATTGGAGGAAAACCACCAGAATAAATAAAATTCAGTAACATGTACACAGATACTAACTAGTTAATAGTAAAGAGAGAAAGGGAGAGAATGCCCAACACATTTTTTATTGTAGAAAACCATGACTATTATTAAATTTTAAACATTACCTTTGCAATAAGATAAATCAATCATAAGAAAGGCACTGTCATTTAGCCTTGATAAGTCATGGAATTTTCTCATCTCAGAAATGACAGCTATCAATGTAAAGATTTCAAATAAAAGCATAAAAAAATGTACCCAAGGCAGATACATGAGCCCATGTTAATTAAGATAAAAAATATTGTTCTTTAAAAAGACCATTTGAGAAAAGTACTCATAATTTAGGAAGTGAAACTATTCCGCTAGCAACTAAAGACTAGTGTAAAATCATATCATCATCACAACTTTAGCAAAAGCCTATAAGTGTTCATTATAGTTCTTCCATAAATAAGATGCAAATAGTAAGTACTGCATCTGATTTCCATACTGAGCCCCCGATTCAGTAACCTGTCCCGAGAAACATATACCAATATGGTAGGACTCTATATACCAGAGCCCTACCATACTGAGACGCAATGTGTAACCTAAAGTCCTACTATATAAGGGTAATCATTTAGCAAAACCACTTTAACCTTTTATTGTGGTTGTCAGTGTTCAAAGTTGAATTCCAACACAAATTCAACAAGAGGCAAAAGCAACTGAAGCTAGTGCTTTCTGCATGGCTGACTCATATTAACATGATGGTGGCCAACCCAGGGAACGGTAGGTAATATATCTACACTGAGTCTATTATTACTCTTATATAAAAGCAAGATATGGAGCCCTGGCCAAGTGGCTCTGTTGGTTAGAACGTTGTCCCCAGTACAGCCAAAGGTTATGGGTTCAATTTCTAGTCAGGGCACATACCTAGGTTTGGAGTTCAATCCCCAGTTGGGGCAGATATAGGAGGCAACCAATTCATGTTTCTCTATCACATACATGTTCCCCCCTTCTAAAATAAAAAAAAAATATCCTATGGTGAGAATTAAAAAAACACCAACATATGTAAAGCTATTATAGCCACATGTACGTTTTTTTAAAAATCAGCTCTAGAACTACAATGTTCCAACCATAACTGAAATGGTAATAGTAGTAAACTTTTCAATTAGTGAAAAACAAAAAACAAAAAACTATCACAGTCTATTTTATAGTCTCTTTGGAGTAACTGAAATTATTGCATTTATTTCATGCAAACTTAACTACACTTGTTTTTTTGTTTTTTTTTTTTAACATCTTTTAGTGTGTCACTATGAAGACTTCAAATTTAGAACACTCAATTTTTAAAAGAAAAAAAAATTAACAGTACCATAATTAATAGGAACCCTATAGTATAGTGAGGCTAGAGTGAATGTTTGATTCTCACCAGTACATCATTGCAGATATCTCTTAGCTCGGTCTCAATTTTTTCTCTGTATTCTCGAGCCATCTGCTGTTTTTTCTCAGCACCTTCTGTCTTTTGCTCAATACTTGAGACGACCCTCCAAGATGACCTACGGGCTCCTACAACATTTTTATAAGCAACTGAGAGAAGATTCCTCTCCTCATTGGATAATTCAGCTCCTTGCTCAGTTACAGATTTCATGCAGGCTGCCATGTCATCATATCGCTCAGCCTGCTCGGCCAGTTTGGCCTTCTGCACCAGCTCATTTTTATCCATGACTGGATGTTCTGCAGAAAAAAGAAGAGAAAAAAAAAGAGAGAAAAGCATTTAGATATTTTTTTCCATCAAAATTAACAGACTCAAAATTATACCTTTTGTTTTAAAAAAATAATCTGTACTTAACACCTCAAATTTAACTGACTATGGAAGATTGCCTATGGAAGATTTTTCACTGGAGGAATTTAATGCAGACACCCACATCACACATACTGATCAGAATAGAAAAACAAAAAATGGCACACAGAGGGAAATTTAAAGCCATTAACATCAGTTCAGCAAAATTAAAATCACTGTAGTTTTGTTCAGATCCTAATTTCACATAAGGTCAAAGCACAGAAGCCATCTTAAAAACCAACTCTTATCTTGGCCAAAATTTCAACTCCAGTCTCCAATATCACTAAGTAATAAAAAATTAAGCAGCTTTTCTTTAGTGAAAACACTGCCCATGAAGAACAATACATTTCTCCTACTTATCAGTTTAATGTGTGATACTAATTTCTTTTCAGGATGTTTTAAGTTTAAATTTTAGTTGGTATTACTCCTACCTCAGAATAGCTAATCTCAGAATGACAATTTTCTGGGAGAAATGACCAAGTTGCCTTTTAAAATATATTTTAAATACAAAACAATCAATAACTGATCCTAAAGTCTCATTTAGCTGTACCTGTTATATATGCTTAGAAAAAAATATATACCCGAATCTCAAAATCCCACTCTTACTGTGAACACTAAAATTTACATATTAAGTGCTTCCGGGGTGACCAGGGTTCTGATGTTACTGTTCCAGTTTAAATATAGAATTACTTCATTCTGTTTTCAGTAGTTAAAATTAATTATCACTCTAGCTGCCCTTACCATGACTTCCCATCTAATTCTTTCTCATCTTAAAGCTCCCTAGACTTTTCAATTGACCCTCATTATACTTTTCCTTAAAGAAGTCCTCTTGAAAAGTGCCAAAACAACAACAACAAAAAAGATAATAAAAACATAGTGATCCCATAGAAGAAACGATTTTATCACTCACTATGGGAACTGACTCCCCAACACCGTATTTTTACCTTCCCGGGAAAATCCTACAATACTTAAAAACTAAATAAAACCGGGAACAGGTCCCCAGTATTCATCCAAGTAATCAGCTTGGATGCAAGGTATAGTGGTTCCATTTGAAAAACTATCTAAAATCTGTGATCGCACAACCTCCTTCAAACCCCTACCCACGTTTCTCAAAATCACCCATTTTCCCCTCCGATGAATGCTGCTTCTAACGAAACTGTACCCCAAACCCGTCTGAAGGTGCCTCTCGGCCGCCGCCGGACCCGAGGGGAAGTGGGCCGGGCTCCGCCCAGGGCCCGCCGCACCCATTTAACCCTTAACCGCCGCCGCACGTCCGGCCGGGCGAACGGAAAGCCCGCGGCCGCCGCGGCCGCCCCCTCCTGGCTCCGCCCAAGCCGGTGCCTCCGCACGCGTCCCCCGCTCTCCCTTTGTCATGGCGGATCCGTGTCAGGGCGCCAGCCTCCCGCCGAGTGTGAATCCCCCCCCTTTCCCCCCCCCCCCGGAGCCGGAGGGAGGAGCGGCGCCCGCGCCCTGGCACCGGGGAGCCGCCGCCCACCCCTCCCGGGGCAGAGGCCGCCCGCAGCCGCAGGACCCCGGCCCGCCGGCCCGGACACACCCCGCTCTCCCGCCGGCGTCGCCCGCGCCACCCGACACCGCGGGGCTCCGGGCGGCGGGGCGACAGCTGCGGCCGGTGGGGGAGGGCGGGCGCCACACCCAGGCCGCGGCCGCCGCCGGCTGTTACGCTCCGCTTCCCCGCCCCGCGGCGCCGGGACCCTCCGGCTCCGGCTCCGGCTCCGGCCGAGGCCCCGCGGGCGAGCGAGGGGGCCGCCCGCTGTCCAGCCCGTCCGCCCCCCTCCCCCCCACCTGGCCCCGAGCCCCCATCCGCCCGAAGAAAGGGCCGCTCCCATCCCCCACCCCGGAGTATTCGAGGGGCCCCCGCCCCCAATCGGAACCCAGGAAATTCGGCTCTGGGTGCCGGGCGAGCCCCAGCCGGAGCGCGGCCTCACCGTCTACCTGGCGGGCGCCGCCGGCCGCCTCGGCTCGGGACCAGGTGCCCAGGCCCGGCGCGGCCGCCGCCCGGATGGATGGGGGAGGGCGGGGCGCTGAGGCTGCGCCGAGGAGCGGGCGGGCGGGGGGCCGGGGAGGGGGCGGCCTCACCTGCGCCACTGCCCCGCGCCGCGCCTCCGGGCCGAAGGGGGGGCGGGCGCGAAGGGGAAGGGGCTCCGGAGGCCCCGGGCGGCGGGGGGAACGGATCGCGGCCGCGGTGGTGCGTCCGGGCAGGTCCCCGGGGACCTCGCGTGTAGGCGCCAATCCTCCCCCCCTCCCCCCGGAAGGGACCCAGGGACGGGCCGCCGATCGGGGCCGAGGCGCCGATCCGGAAGCGGGTAGCCCGAGGCCGCCGCTAGCCGCCCGCCCGCCCGCCTGCCCGGGTCCAGCGGAAGGAAAGCCGCCGCCCGTCTCCGCCTGGAGACTCCGCCTCAGCCCGGCGCCTCCCGCTGCCTCCGGGCGGGCGAGCGGGGCCGAGGGGATGGGGAGCGGGGCGGGCCCCCGCGCTCTCGGGAGAGGGTCCGGGACACGAGGAGTGCGGGCGAGGGCGCGGCGGCCGTGCCTTACCTGTGGCCGGAGTGGGCGGCGGCGGCGGCGGCGGCGGGCGGCGGGCGGGCGGGCGGACGGGCACTCAGCAGTCTCCGGCGGCAGCGCGGCGAGGCTGAGACTCTGTCCCCAGATCTCGCTGCTCACAGGCTACAGCCGCTCCGCAGACACGGGGTTTCCTCCAATCACCAGCCCCGGCAGCAGGGGCACCACACGCACGATGACGTCAAACGCTGCTATGGCAACCGTTGATTGGTGCCCACAGGCCTGGGGGCCCAGCGCAACCGCCGCTCCCCGCGCTAGAGGGCGAGCTCGGAGGAGCACGGGTCCTCCCTCGCCCGCTCCCGGCCCTCCTGCCACCCCGCTCAGCCTCCGACCTCTCCGGCCCCACAAGGGCGCCGGGGCAGGAAACGCCCTCTCCCCTAGCCCCACCACGTCCCCCCGAATTCGTCTTCCCCCTTGAGCCCCGGTAGCCTCCGCCGGCCTCACTTAGTCTCGACCAGAGAGAGAGGAAACGTCTCCCCACCCCCACCCCAGCTTCCCGGGCCGGCCCGCGCCCGCGCCTGCGCCAGGCAGTCACTCCCTCTAGTAGGGGCTCTGGTTCGGCAACATCCGGGACCTTTCACAGCCCCCAGCCCTCCCCCCCCCCCCCCCAGCCCTCGGTGCCGGGCCCGCCCCGCCCAGCCCTCGGTGCTTCGCGGCGGTAACTGACCCCCCAGGACGTCCGCAGCTGGGCATTATGATCGGGACTTGGGGAGGGGGGTGGGGGGACGCCAGGGTGCGGTCCTGTCCAGGGAGGGAGGGAGGGGCCATGTGGCAAGCTCCCCCCACCCCCCCAATCCCTGCCCGCGCCCCTCCCCGCGCCGGGAGGACAGATCTGGGCGCGCGGCCCCGCCCTTCCTCCCTCCCTCCCGCCGCGCGGCCCTACCTGCGGCTCCCGGAACCGGCCTTAGACCATTTAAGGCCGGGAGTGGGGAGTGCGGCGTCCGGCCCGGCGGCGTGTGGGCTGAGTGACGGGAGGGTTTTCCAATCGGGGAGCTCGGGATCTGCGCGCAGTGACAGCTGCGAGGGGACAATGGGTGGGCGCGCAGTGGGGGTGAGACTGAGGGATCCGGGGAGCGGAGGGGGCGGGGGTGCGCCGGGAGGAGGAGACGCCGCCCCTTTCCGAAAGCCTGCTCCAGGCGAGTGGAGAGGACCGCTTGCTTTCTTTCTTTTTAAAAAAATATATTTTATTGATTTCCCACAGAGAGGAAGGGAGAGGGAGAGCTAGAAACATCAATGAAAAAGAATCATCGATCAGCTGCCTCCTGCACTCCCCTCCACTGGGGATGTGCCCGAAACCAAGGCACATGCCCCTCACCGGAATCGAACCTGGGACCCTTCAGTCCACAGGCCGACGCTCTATCCACTGAGTCAAACCGGTTTTGGCAGGACCGCTTTCTTGATGGAGGATTTGGGGTGATGATCATCGGGGACTGACTCATTTCTCACCGGTTAGGTTTGAATACCCAAGTAGAACTTTCACTTGAAGACCTCATGCCCAGGGATTTAAAACACACAGATCATCACCTATTTCCCCCCCTGGGTGCAAGGTTGGAGGCACGTGTCGTTCGCAGGGTCCCGGCCTATCCAGCCGTCGGGGAGGGTTGGGGTAGGGTGGGTGGCCTCTGGCCCGGCTAGGACCGGACCCAGAACCAGGAAGGAGGGGAAAGAGAAGGGCGGAAATTGCAGGTGCAAACCTGCCAACTTAAACCGGTAGTGCCTCCACCCAGGCTGCTTGGGGAAGTTCCGAGCGCTGCATTCACAGGGTGACATGGCTCTGCCCCTTCTCCCGCGGACGGTGCTAGAGCTCAGAGAAGAGGAGCGCTTGGATGGCCTGCGAAACCAGTCGCAGGAGCCATCGAGAGTTTGTAGTTGGAAGTGGGAGAACCCAAAACTCTCCTCCCACCCTGAGTGCCTCCTGTCTGGACCTCGTTGGTCTTCCTAATGCATCTTTACTGAACACCTATGAGGGGTCCGCTTCAGGCGAATTAGACGAAGGAGCCTCAAAAGATGCAGCCTCACGCTCTGCAGAGGATTGCATCTGTCAGGGGCAGACGCGAAATGGTTCCTCCCTCTTCCAGCGCTTTGTTGTTTGATGGATGCACTGTGCCGCCAGACTTGTACCAATTACATTTTGCCTTAAGTTCCAGCTGGCGTTTAGATAGTCAAGTATAAACCAGGAGGAGCGTTTCCAGTGACCAGTTCAATTTCAGTGTTTTTTTAATTTGTTTATTTTATTTTTTTATTTTCCCCCCAAGTTTCCACCTCACCCCGTTCATAGTAGACTGAATGGATGGACAAATTGATCA